ATTTACAGGTCACAGTGTACGCTTGTGAACCGCATCTGGTTGCCGTCACCATCAAAGACAACAAGTTAAAGTGCCACTGAAGTTAAGGTTTTTGGCTCAGAATATGAGAAAAGGATAACGGCCTTTTTACCATCTTTACCAAGAGTGTCTCTCCGTTAGTTTGGTGCTACAGTATTTACACTGAATCATTCAGCATAACGTTTGCCAACCTTTGTTATCTCTGCCATTACAGATAAGTTAATGAAGCTAAGCTCCAGAAGTTAACGTTAGCTTAACTAGAGCCCTTTGGACAACAGCTAACAATGATGTACGATCACCAAAGTACAAAACTAGAACAAAATAGGCTAATGAACTCCCAGCAAACAAGGTGACATGATGAACAACGCAGCTAGGAGCTAACGTTAGGCTAACTTTAGCTAACGTTAGCTAGAGATGTTAAAGATAACTTTATATTTCTTTCCAGCAAAGTGACAATATGTTGCCTCAAACACAATGTTGACTTACCTTAGAACAGATGTAGACATCATTGTTAATCTTATTCACGTTGAGTTGATGTTGTGGTCTAACGTTACCACACAACTTTATCCAAAGGAGACACTTTTCTCGCTTGAGATGTGGTTTAAAGTGTAAAAAATACACCTGGTCGCCCAGCCTCTCAGGATACCTTGTGTCAGAGTTGCATGTACCCCATGCACACCGTTTGACCATTTTTAAACTTCAAATCTTCCTGTAATGCATTTCAACGGACGTCCAGGCAGAGGATGTTCGAGTGTATGGGAATGGCTATACGCACTGTGATTGGCTCATCGCGTTTGACCATGTGACCTTGTGCTAGCTTAGCTAACAGGCTGCTAACGGGCTAACAGGTTTTTCTTTCAGTTCAGTTTGTCTGATTAAAAAGAACATGTTTAACTAGATTTGACACACTGTGAATCTGAGTAATGTTATTCTACTAAAATATGGTCATACCTTATACAGTCAGAGTCAGATCGTCATTATGACTCGTTCAGCCGTTCATACATCTTAATGAACTATGTCACAGATCTTACTGAATACCTGGCAGGCCAGCATCTTCACTTATTTGTCGCCACACAATTCTGGTCCTGTTTTTGTCCCGGTAATGTTCCAACTGAATTCTTTAAATTACTGGGTGTCAAAAAACAAACAAAATTAGCCCCTCCCCCACGGCTACAGGTAGCTTCTCTGAGGTTTCGATCCATCTGTAAAGAAGTGCACTTCCTTGCGCCGGACACTAGAGGCATCATGTGTACATTTACAGATCTACACACACCAGTCACATACGTAACGCTAGTTAGTAATGAACTAGCGTGCAACACCGCAGCGGTTCCATTGACCGTCGGACCATGGAGGTGTTGGATTTTTCCTACTCGGGCGTTGACAAGATGGAAGAAATGGAGCATAACAGTGCCGGAAGTAGGAAATAAATTGCAATCGCAGTTGTAAACAAACAATATTTCATTTATTTATGCAAAAGAAAAATAAGCATAAGCTTTTTTTCCACTATTAAAAGTGATTGTTGAACATAGGTTGATTTCTATGTGGTTGATAATTACTCTATATTTTCAAATTTCGCGTTCATTTCTATATCAGCTCTTTCAATAGTACACTACTCAACTCGTCTCAGTTCAGTTGGTACAGTGACAGTCAACATGAGAGATCTTCGCAGGAATATATTGCTAGCTCTTCTGCTAGATGACTTCGCCAACAGCTCTCGCCGACAGCACACTAGCTAGCCGCCCGCATCTGGCCAGGTCTGTCAACAACGGAACCTCGCGGCATTGTTCTGGGGGTGGGGAATGCGTTGGGGAAATGCTTTGTTAAAACAGGAAAAATAGGTTGTGCACCCGGCGTAAGTGAAACCAAGGTGTAATTCTGACTCCACCAGCCACAACCGAAATCGTCAAACACCGTTGCTCTGTTTTGATTTCCAAAAGGTGTCACCATCAGCCGCAGATGGATGACCTACAACCAATCAGTGCAACACAATGTGACGTAGCTCTTCCTCACTATGCTAGTTTAATGTTCACCATCGTGTTGCTAGCACAAGGGTGCACAAGCCAAAAATAACATTGTCACGTACTTTGCATAAAGCACGAAGGTTTCACAAGTTGTCAATCACTGAATCAAACCTGCCCCATATCTGTTAACCACCATCACCATCATATTTTTTGAAGGGGGGCCAATATAATAACTTAACTGGTCAACAGCCAAACCAAGAAAAAATCCTCACCATCACAACCAGAAATCAACCTCAGAGATAAAATCTAAACTTCTCTAAAGTTCTCATCAGTAAAATAAAATCTCCAAACGTAGTTTCACAGAAGTGACGCAGATTACAAACACTGGCAGCATCACGTTAGTTAGTTAGTTAGTTAGTTAGTTGTGCTGCAGGGATCATCACGGGTCACAGGAATGGTTTGATCTGACTGGTGAAACATGTTGAAATGAACAGGCCAGTGACATATAGTTTTCACCCAACCCATCGTCAGAGGAAGTTGTGTATCGTACATTTCTGCAAAACGCAGATACATTACATCTGTAAGTTAGCATGGAGCAGATTATGTTTGAGCACATGCAGAATTGGTGCCACAAACATTGGTGAAAACATTGTGAAGCGTCGTTGGTGTTGAACAGCGTCTGCAGCTCGGCAGGCATCTCTCTGAGGTGTCTCTCCATCCGCCATCCCCTCCACCTGCTGATGACACAGTCAGCTCAGATACTGCGTCACTTTACAAACACTGAGATGATACTACGTATGAAACGTACAAATGTAACGTACCTGTGGTTTGCAGAAATGTACAATGCCAACGTTTCCCTCTGGAGACTGGACTGATTCATCATCACCGCTAGCTGATGTAAAAATGGAGCGCTTGTGGTTATTGGGAGCGTTCCTGTGTAGACATGGACTTTGGATTGGGACAGTTGGTGACTGGTGATACAGTTTGAAAAAATCTCAAACCTCCAAATTTGCTCCAGTGTTGTTTAATGAAGGCGGAGGATAAAGAGAGGCAGGTGTGTTTGTTTTTAGTGAAATCAACAGGAGGCTTCGTCCCTCCTCATCATGTTTACAGCAGTCCCCCCGCCCCGCTCACCTGGTGACCAAATCAAACGTCCACAGTTCGTCGTACAGACAGATCCTGCTTTAATGTTTATTGCAGAGAGAAAACGATCAAACATCATTAAATATAACACCATGCACATTTTCTCAAATACAACCTGACACTCTGAAAAACATGTGAGCTCGTCTCTTCTGACACGACTTGACACCCGACAGCAGCGACTCGCGTCTTTACAGTTCAGTCGACATGGAGATGATTCTGTGTCTGAACCCGAAGAGAAGACGTCCCTCAGACAGTGGTTGTTTCCATCAGTGCTTCAGTTCATGTTCTCGTCCAGTGACAAACCACAAAGTACCAAATAGATGGACCAGAGTCCATCAGGATCTATGACAGGACCCGCTCAGGGGTCAAAGGTCAGAGTTCATTAACAGTCTTCGCTCTGTGCCTCATCATCATCACTGCTGTCCTCATATCTGCAGTGAACTCAACTGTTCGTGAACTCAGTCATCAGTTCTGTCAGTAATCGTAGTACAACTCGTCAAGTTCATATCTGATATCACAGTGACATCACTGAATAAAGAACCACCAATCAGACAGAACGGAAACAAAGCTCGGTCATGCATCACATAAAGCTAAAATATAACTCTTAAGTTATTGAGTCATGTTGGGTCCTGGATCAGCGTGTCCTCACACAACCGTTCATAAGACGTCCTACTAAATATCGGATGGACACTAGAAAAAGTTACGTACTTAATGTAAAGTTACGGATGTTAGGTTTAGAAAACACAGTGATGATGAACCTTAAAATTACTTTAAGTTCACGTGTTTCCAAACACCGCTCCCCTTAAGGAAAGTCCTGTGCTTTGTAACACACCACCTCAACCTGCCGCCTCATACGACCACTTCCTTCTTTACTAGCGTTGGCCTTTTGGTCATGTGATGGTAGCTTTTCCAAACACGTGGGTTATGCACGTGTTTGGAAAAGCTACCAAACACGTGCATAACCCACGTGTTTGGAAAAGCTACCATCACATGACCAAACACGTGGGTCATGCACATGTTTGGTCATGTGATGGTAGCTTTTCCAAACACATGGGTTATGCATGAATTAATATTCATTTATTCTCCTGTTATGTACGAAAATAGATACTTCTTTTTCAAATGCTGTAAATGTCACCGCCCTCACACACATCATTACGTTTAGCTGACACACACGTGTGGTAACGTTTAGCCAACACACACACGTAGTTACGTTTCGCCAACACACGCACATGGTTACATTTAGCCAACACACACATGTGGTTATGTTTAGCCAACACACACACATAGATACGTTTAGCCAACACACACACGTGGTTATGTTTGGCCAACACACACACGTGGTTACGTTTAGCCAACACACACACGTAGTTACGTTTGGCCGACACACACAAGTGGTTACGTTTAGCCAACACACACACGTAGTTACGTTTGGCCGACACACACATGTGGTTACATTTAGCCGACACACACACGTGGTTACGTTTAGCCGACACACATGTGGTTACGTTTAGCCAACACACACACACGTGGTTCCGTTTAGCCAACACACACACGTGGTTACGTTTAGCCGACACACACATGTGGTTACGTTTAGCCAACACACGCACACATGGTTACGTTTAGCCGACACACACGTGGTTATGTTTAGCCAACACACGCACACGTGGTTCTGTTTAGCCAACACACACGTGGTTACGTTTAGCCAACACACACATGTGGTTACGTTTAGCCGACACACATGTGGTTACGTTTAGCCAACACACGCACACGTGGTTCCGTTTAGCCAACACACACACGTGGTTACATTTAGCTGACACACACATGTGGTTACGTTTAGCCAACACACGCACACGTGGTTCCGTTTAGCCAACACACACACACGTGGTTACGTTTAGCCAACACACACACGTGGTTACGTTTAGCCAACACACACATGTGGTTACGTTTAGCCAACACACACACACGTGGTTGGGTTTCAGAAAAAGAACAGGTTTTGCTTTACAATCGTACAGGAAGTGAACCTCCTGGGCGACCAGCCATGTATCATGCTGACATGAAAGGATGGCTTTTTCCATCAGTGTCTGACGCTGGAAGTCACTGACCAAGCGCTGGTATCCGATGACTTCGGAGTAGAGGATGGCACTAGAGGACGGAGTCAAAAGTTTCACACAGCAACAAACGAGGTGAGGGTGGAGGAGATCGTGGTCATGTACCTTCAAACAGAGGTAGTGCTGTAGACGGTGGTGGTCTGTGAGGTTGTTAAATACATCACGACGTGTTGATGGCGAATTCTTTTCTCTATATATTATTTTATATTCCTGATTTGTTCCGTTGTGCCACTATTTAAATATCTTGTTCGTCTCCTACTGTCGTTTCTTACATGTACCACAATACACCACCTCCATGATCTGCAGGGGTTCTACTCTACACAGAGTACTGACAGAAGGCTCCGTCCCTCTCTAAAATCAAGCATAGACGAGTCTTACTGGCTTGTGATCGTGCGGGATTTGTCTGAATTTTGTTTTTCATAGGAAAAATGTACGAACAGTTTGTGAGCAGCCTGTGTAGATACATGAAGACGCAGAGTTTGTGTCTGGGATCATGCAGAGCAGTTGTCCGTGTCCTCAGATGTCAGTTGTGACCTCGTGGAGTCAAACGTTCTGATTTCTGACAGAACTGATGAATAAACTGATAAAATAAGACTTTAAATCCTTGGATGCGTTCAGGCCGCAGCGTGACGCCGTCTGCTACGACAGCCGCTCCATCTCAAACTGGAGTTCGCTGGGCTTGGCGGCAGCGGTGCTTGTCATCACGGCACAGCTCTTGTTAGTGCGGCCACAGCCTGACTGTGGAGCTTCAGCTGAAGGTCCGTGTGTCACTGTGAGGGGGGTGGAGTCGTCTGGAGCCGCCAGTGTGGTGTCCAGCTCTGGCGACTTTCGGCCATAGTAAAGCGCCCACAGCAGCGTGAGGGTGAGCGCCATGGCCAGGATCTGAGCCACGCCGATGGACACGCCCAGGAAACGCAGCGCCTGCAGCTGCTTCGTCCCTCGAATGAAGCTGTAGATCTTCGGACCGCAGCCCTGAAACACAAGCAGAGGAAAAACTGTCAGCGGGAATCATCACGAGGCATTTAGCTCTCGTTCTCAGGACTCTACGAACGCAGCTCAGCCTCACAGTTAGTGTCCCCCAAGTGGACACTCGTGGTACTGCAACAAAAAAATTCCCTGCAGCCCAGAAAACCTAAACTTTTGATCCATACAGGTTTTAAATTTGTAAAAGTTTCCTTGAGCAAAGAAAGGCGATTTAAAAATCATGATGTCATTGGAATGTAAAGTCTGTGAGTCGAGCAGGAATTCGTGGGTGGAGCCTGCAGGAGGAACACCAATGCTCATATTCAAAGTAAAGAGGTAAACCCAGGGTTTGAGAAATTTAGCTTTTCTATTTTTAGTTTTTGGGGGGTGAGGTTTGCTTTTTTTTTTTTTTTTCATGATATTTTGCTTTATTCATTTATTTCCTTATATTTATTTTGGTGATATTTTGCTTTTTTTATTTATTTATTTTTTGTAAAAATTTAGCATTTTTAATTTATTTTTATCCATAAACAGTTTATTAATTGATTACATTTATCAGGAGGTATGTACTGATGTTTTGGGTTTTCTTTTTCTAGAAACAGTTTTGGCACTGGGCCAGCAGCTCCACTGGAATGACGCCATCTTGTCGTCCAATATCCATTTATTATTTTATATCTATGCTCAAACTCCAGGCTTCACGAATAAACTAAAGTCACTGTCACTTCCTTTTGTTCGCTCTCAAGCTTCTGTCAATCAGTTTAAACACTTCCTGTACAGACGCTTCACAATAAAAGCCTTCAGACAGCCCATAGAGAGCATCATCCTGTTTTCTCCTGATCGGCTTTTATTGTGAAATATCTGGAGGAAGTGTTGAGTTTGATTGACAGATGGTTTTAATGGTAAAGAAAAGAAACTACTAGATGTTGTTTCAGTCACAACAATATCAATTTTATCAGAATTTTTGTTGTTTTTTTATATATTTAATTTTCATATTTTTATATTTCATATTTGTAAAAAAAAAATCATCAGAAAGTGAAGTCTGTGAGCCGAGCAGGAACGTGAAGGGATAAACATGACTGTGTATATTCCGAGGGCCGCATACTGTGAAGTAAAACCTGGAAAAAAGAAACTGTTTGTGGTGTAAACGCTGACGAGTGGCGAGCGACTAAACAGGCGTCATCTTGTGGTCAGTTATGTAATTATTATACATGTGGCACTAATCATCCTCCATAGATCTGTCACAGTTTGATGACTCGGTTTAAATTCTTTATGTCTCGTCTTTCTGCTGCAGTGGAGTCACATGAGCAGTGGACGATGACAATGACGATGATGATGGCTCCACACTACCAGAGATGACAGATGAAGAGGAAGAGGAGGAGGAGGAGGAAGCTAACAGTCACAGCACACATAACAACAGGTGGACACAGTAGAAACCTGCTGTTACAGTGATGAACGTCTGTGATTGGACGAAAGCCCCTCTGACTCTGTCACCTGTCGTCCAATCAGAGGCGGCGGTGTCTCACCTCTTGGTGCAGGTCGCTGAGGTCGTGGTAGTGGGCGTGGCGAGCACATCCTGGATACTGATTGGAGCAGCAGGAGTCAGGTGGCCACTCCATCTCTGTCATCTCCAGCCAATCAGTGAAGTAGATCACACCGCAGCACTTAAACTGTCCACAGGTAAACACACACCTGTCAGCACACGGGTCACATGACCACCACAGTCTGTGTGTGTGTGTGTGTGTGTGTGTGTGTGTGTGTGTGACCTCTGACCTCGGTCTGGAAGCTGTTCCAGGTGTGTGTGAGCCACTGGTAACGCTGCAGGCCGAAGTTTGGCATCCGAGACTTCAGGCTGATCATATCAGAGCGCTGCACCGACGGCTGAACACACACCCACACACACACACACACACACACACACAGCTTCAGTCTATCTCAGAGAGGTGTCACACCTGCTCAGGTGTCTCCTCCTGTGTGTGACCTGAACCCTGCAGTGTGTACCTGAGGGCAGCAGAGGTGGGCGGGGCCTGTGATGTGATGGCCTGCGTTAGTGTGTCCCCGCTGATGTCACCAAACTGAACGTCTCTCTACAGTTTATGGACTGTGAGGTCATCACCTGTCCCCAGGTCAGCCAGGTGCGTGTGTGTGTGTGTATGTGTGCGTGTGTGTGTGTGTGTGTGTGTGTGCGTGTGTGTGTGTGTGTGTGTGTGTGTGTGTCAGCTCTGTGCTGATAAGAAACCATTCATCCTGACTACAATACCCACAACCCCCTGAGGCAGGTGAGGCCTGTAGAGACAGAGCTCAGGTGAGATAGTGAGGTCAGCCTGCAGGTAAACAACAAACAACAACAACAGCTGCTGCTGCTCAGTCTGATGATCTGATGCTGATGCTTCTTCTGCGTCTTAATTTAATGTCGTTGTTGACATGATTATAGAGCTTCATGTTGTGTAGTTATTGTCTACTTGTTGTGTACCTGTTGTGTCCTCGGTGTGTTAGTTGTGTACTTGTTGTGTCTCAGTGTTGGGGTGTGTAACAGGATCTGATCTGAGAGCAGCGTGTTTGACATTTCAGTTTATTCTTAGCAGTGAGACGTGTTTGTAACTGAACCCGTCTGCAGCTGCTCACTACCTCCTCTCTGATTGGTTCACTACACACAAGGGGGCAGAGCCAACACTCACTCAGTATTATCATGTTAGGAAAAAAAACTACAGCAGAGTGAGAGGGACAAAAACCTGTCACATCATCATCATCATCATCATCAGTAGTGTTGTCATCTGACATAACGTGATATGTGCATGTTGTCACCTCGTCATAGGTCCACACCGCGCTCGCCAGCTCCACGCAGAAGATCACCAGCAGACTGCAGAAATACTGAAACACAAAAACACACACATGTTCAGACTGTGTGTCAACGACCTTTGACCTCACACACACACACATACACACACACACACACAGAGGTAAGACTGCAGGTAGAAACAGTGGAGGTGAACGGTACACTGTCAGAGAATATTTACATGCTGAGGGTCAAAGGTCAGAGTCATCAGAAGGACGTATTTATAACTGACCTCAGATCTGCTGCATGGAAACATCACACAGTGACTTACTCCTGGAGGCCAGGTGAGTGACTGTGTGTGTGTGTCCTACAGGTGGCGCTACACTAAAACAGATTTAATCTATTATCGTTCTGTGTGAAAGGTTCACTCATGGCATGAAGCAGAGTCGTCTCATCTTTAAGCCGTCTGTGTTCAAGGGACAGGCGTCAGGACGGGATCATGGACAGGACAGGTGAGACGTTTGATGACATGTTGAACAGGATTTAACTTCTGCAGTGAATCAACACCGCACCTGCAGCGTCAGCTCTGAGTGGACACATACGCTACATACTCTTCACCGTAGCCTAAAGGTGCAGACACACCAAACCAACATCAAAGAACTAGCAGCGACGAAAGCCAACTGTTGCGTCGTCTACGTCGCCTCACGTCGCCCTGTGTCAGTTGCATTTGAACACACTACACGGACTACATCCGACGGCCAAGTAGCACGTACGTTCTGCGCCTGCGTGAGAGAGAGCGGAGTGAGAGAGTGGTACATCCTGTCAGCCGAGGGGTTTCCTATCTGTGCAGCTGAGCACCGCAGCACCTCCACGGACTATTACATCCAGACGGTCCCGGTGTTTCCTCCGCAGGCTCCACTTCACTCAGCTGCCCGATAAACCCGCTGCTTCTTTCCACTTTAACCTGAATAACAAACCAGGGCTCGGTGCTCCGCTTGGATCCAAACGGAGAGTCGGGGCTAGCTCAGAGACTAGCGGAGGCTAACTGGCTGTGCTTCCCTCCGGTCACGCTGCGGCTAACGCTCCGCTAGCCGCTCCCAGCTAGCTCCGGTTTGTTATTCAGGTTAAAGTGTGAAGAAGCAGCGGGTCTGTGGGGCAGCTGAGTGAAGTGGAGCCTGAGGAGGAAGCACCGGTTAGCCCCGGTTTCACTACAGGCAGATTCACTCGCTACAGGGGTGAGGAAATAAAACCTGAACAGCCAATCAGAGTGATCTCTCTCACCGACAAGCTCCGCCGACGATTCAACATGCTCGATCGGCTGAAAAGCCGCCGACGCCGAAGTGCCGACGGTGCGGGACACACCACAAAAACTAGGCCGACAGACGCTCACCGACGGCCCAACTTTGGTCGACGGCCGACCGTCGGCTTGGTGTGTCAGGGCCTTAACGTGCAGCTCCTCGGAAATGTAACCTCTCGTCACAGCGACACAGACTTCCTGTTTATGTTTGTAAACTAAAAACCACTTCCTTCAGTGGAAACGAAGATTTTATTTTCTTTGATTTCACAGATAAGAAACAACAAATGAAGTCCTGTGTGTGATTTATCCTGACTTCATATGAGTAGAGGAAAACTGTTAACCACAGGGCTAACTTATACCATGTAAAATGCCATAGGCTTATGCTAATAATGTTAGCATAAGTGTTGAAAACGTGTTTAGTATAAGACAGTTGTTTTGTCAGTGAACCTTGTGAGCTGTAATGGAGCCGAATTTTGTGACATTACCTTTGTTAAATGTTGCTGTTGTCCCTGGCTTCATATGAGAGGAGGAAAAGTCTGTTAGCTGCTAGGCTAATGTATACAATGTAAAATGCCATAGACTTGTGCTAATAATGTTAGCATGTTGTATTTGTGGGGAAAATGTGTTCAGATAAAGACAAGTGTTTGTCTGTGAATGCTGCGAGTTATGATTATAATGTTATTGTGGGTGATGTCGTCTCCCAGGTGTCTTTGCAGTGACTGAGGGACAGTGGGTGATGTTGTCTCCTGGGTGTCTCCGCAGTGACTGAGGGACAGTGGGTGATGTCGTCTCCTGGGTGTCTCCGCAGTGACTGAGGGACAGTGGGTGATGTCGTCTCCCAGGTGTCTTTGCAGTGACTGAGGGACAGTGGGTGATGTTGTCTCCTGGGTGTCTCCGCAGTGACTGAGGGACAGTGGGTGATGTCGTCTCC